CCGCAAGCCGGTCCACCGCTTTGGCCGCCAGTGCTGCATATCGCTTCAAGTGACCGATGCCGCCAAAGCCGCCGCTGCCGCCGCCCTCCTCGTCCACAGTGCCGGCTCCCGACGAGTTCTCATCGCCGCCCGCACCGCAGTCAGCCACCCTGGCCGCATCCAGAACGTCCGGCAGCGGGGCCAGGGCGGGTGCGGCGTGCGCCAGCCCCGTCTCTTGTGCGCAGTCGGCGCCGGCGCCGCCGCCGTCGCGTGCGACGGCCCCATCGTTGGCCTCAGCACCTTTGCGGGCGGCGGCCGCCTGGCCTGCGCCCGAATTGCCCCCCGCCATCCCCTCGTCGCCGCCCTCAGATTCGCCGTGCGCCTCCACACCCTCCACATCCTCCTCTCCTTCGTCATCCACCAGCAGCGGCGGCCCGGTGGCCCAGCCGCCGCCGCCGCCGCCGCCGTCCCAGCCGCGCCGCTGGGTGCCGCTGCAGCGCTGCTGCCACTCTGCCCTGTCGCCGCTGCCCCAGCATGACGGCGCCCTGACGGCCCGAGGGTCCGGCAAGGGAGGCCGCCACAGGCCGGGCCGGGCAGGCCGCCATGCAGCCTGCGGCAGTGCTGTCGCGCCGCGTGGCGGGCTGCTCACCTCCTCCTCCTCCTCCTCCTCCTCCTCCCCCTCCCCCTCCTCATCAGCAACTGTGCCTGTGCGGCCCCAGCTGCAGCCCGCGGTTGTCTGTATCCTGGCGCCAAGAGGCCACGCACCGCTGCTGCGGCAAAAAGCACCAAAGGCGTTGGTGCCCGCCAGGGGGGGCGGGGACTCTTCGGACCCACTGCTGTCACCCTCATCGGCCTGGCACGCCACCCGCAGCCGACCCTGACGCCGCCCTTGCCCAACTCGCTGCGCATGTTGCGCACCGCCGACGCCTCCGCTGCTGACGCCCCTGGCGTCAAACATTGCATCCAGGGCAGAGGTGGGCGCACCGCGCACGCGCAGCCGCTGGGAGCCGCCTGTGCCTTGGGACCCGGCAATCAGCGCGCTGCCGCCGCCACCACTGCCGCTCCCGCCGCCACCACTGCCGCAGCCATACTGCGAGAGCCACAGGCTGGCTGGCCCAGACAGCACTCGCCCGCCGCCGTGGGAACCGCCAGCCCCGCCGCTGCCACTGCCGCCGCAGCCGCCGCCGCCCTCGTCAAGGGTGCCAAAGGAGCCGCCCCCAGACAGAGACGACAGCGGCAGGCCAGGCGCCAGAGGCTCCTGCGAGCCACCGCTGCTGGTGCCCACGCCCTGTGACAGCAGGGGGGCCGTCAGGTGTCCGCTGCCAGTGGGGTCTGTCCCCAGGCCCTCCTCCTCCAAAGGCCCTGCGGACAGGTACGGGCCTGAGCTGCCCGGCTGGCTGGGGTTGGTCCCCAGGCTGCCGAGGCTGGTGCCCAGGGCGGGGTCAGAGCCCTCGCTGGCATCAGGCCCCAGCCTCGCCAGGCCTGCGGGGCACGTTGCGTGCGGGAGGGCCGCGCCCTCGGAGGTGTGCGGCATCTGGGGCACCTGCTGTTGCCCAACACCTTGGGCACATAGCTCCTGCTGCTCCTCTTCCCGCCACTGTGGTTGGTGCTGCCACTGCCGCTGCTGCTGCTGCTGCTGCAGCGGCCGCCTCTCGGCCTCCCCACCAAAAGGGTCGAGCTGTAACTCCTGCCGGCATCGTCGCTTGAGTTGCCGTTCCTCCCCATCGCTCTCACTTTCTGCTTTCAACCGCTGCTGCTCATATTGATGAGGGCGCTGTTGCTGGTGGCACAGGACGTCCTCCTCTGCCCATTGCCGCTGCTGCTGCTGCTGCTGCTGCTGCTGCTGCTCCTTTTGCTCCGTAGCCTGCGGCCCCTGCTGGAGTAATCCAGCAGTGTGCTTGGCATGCACGGATGAGCTTGGCTGTGCACTCCGTGCGTTTGGTGCCGCTGTTGATCTGAAGTAGCGCTGAATGCCATTTTTGGGGGGTGGTGCCGCTGCCACCGCTTGCTGCTTGCCAGACCCTGCCCGATGGGTGACAACGTGATCAGGCAGAGCAAGACAAGGGTTGGATCAAAAAGGAGGGTATCTGAGCAAGGAGGCGAACACGCATCGCAGGCGGTTGTGTCAGCAGAAGGAAGCTGCCTTGTGCAGCTGATCGCATCCCCACCGCGCCGACGCGGCACCCCACCTGACCGCCGCTTGGACATGCCAAAGCGTGGCTTGGCACCGCCGCCAGACAGTGCGCCCGCTGCAGCCGCGCCGCCGCTGGACCCGCCACCTCCGCCGCCGCAGTTGCTGGCCCCTTCGCGCAGCGCCAGCAGTGATGCGATGTGGGGTGGCGGCCTTGGGCAGCCCTTGTAGATGGCTGCCAAGTCATAGGGCTGGTGTGTTGAAGGATCAAGGTCGCCTGCGGCAGTGTTACGAGCGCCAGTGGAGCGAATTCTTAGCCGGCGCTAGCACGGGCTGCCCCGCTTGCTGGTTGGTGTGCTTTAAGTCGTGTCAGCTGTGCGGCTGCGTGATGCAAGGAAAGGTCTACCCACCATACCCACCAGCTGCTATGCCGCGTGCGATGTCATCCGGCAGCATGGGCCCCAAGAAGTCGAGCGCCGCACGGTCAGCCTCTGTTGCAGGCACCGCGGCTGGCACATCCACGTCCGCTGCACCGATGCCACCAGCTGGCAGCGGTGTGAGGTGCACCATTGTGCGCGCGGCTGGGCAGAAGACCCTGCAAGCGTGTGTCATCGGGAGGTGTCTCAGCATTTCATCCTGTGCAGGCTGAATAAGGTTTCATTGACTGTCGCAGGGGCAGTGGCAGGTCCAGTGGCTCGCATTCCAGGGTCTCTCTTTGCCCCCTCACCGGCAGTGCCTGAAGGCCCATACTGCGCGCTGGAAGGCCACCTCGTAGCCAGGGGGCACCGGCACGCCGCTGAAGCGCAGGACCTTGACCAGCTGGGTATCATGTGGAATACAAGCATGCGTGTGTGTGTTTGTGTGTGCATGCGTAGATGTGTCTGTGTGCGTGTGTGTTGGGGGTAGGGGGTGTCGTGAATGAAGAGCAACATGCCAGCCGGTACACAGCACATAACAGCAGCCACACCACAACAGAATGACATCGCACCTGCTTGCCTGCGCCCTCCTCCGCACCGCCCTGTTTCCCTCTCACCTTGACAAACCCCTTGTACTTGCGAACGTAACCGTGGGCCTTGCGCACACCGATGCCCTGGAGGCCCACCAAAAAATCGCAGCCGGAGAGGATGCACATCTGGCATCAGGGCAGCAGGGTGGATGGGGACGTGTTGTGAAAATTGGGATCGGCATAAAAACCAGCAGACCGAGGGCCTGCAGGGTAAGGAACTGTGACCGTGGCGTTGGCGCTACAGGCGACTCGTGGAGCTGCTGGGCCCTGAGTCCCCAGACCCCCTCCCTGAAGCTTGCCTGCAGGAACATGTCATGGCTGAAGCCTGCAAGGGGCAGCCCTGGGATTGAGGCGAACTCGGCCGACGCCACCTCCTCACACGCTCCCATGCGGTCAAGCTTGAAGACCACCCTTGCATCCAGGGTGATCCAGGTTGCAATGGGGAGAGGGGCACACAAAAGGGTCGTCGGCATGTTAAGTGACAATGGCCGTGGGTAGGAAGGTCTGGTGAAGGCGCAGCTGCAGAGCCCCCAGTGCCGTCCCCCAAGCAGGTTTTAAACAATGCCAACGAGTTGCCACCTAGCCAAGCATAGAATTGTAAACATTTGGAGCACACGCACGCACGCATGCATGCACGCGCACAGACACACACCTTGGGCAGGCATAGACCAGCAGGTCTGAGTCCTCTGTCACCACGATGTCCACGTCCCCACGCCGCGCCAAGTACGCCATCTGGTGCAATTGATGATGTGGGTGCGGTCACAGCTGTCCAAGCGACCAAGCGCAGAGTGGACATGCTAAGTCAGACACGCGCACAGTCATTGACTGTGCAATGCCATTTGGAGGACCACCCGTGCCGACTGAAAACCCTGACCTGCGCGTCAGCCTCATACGGTGCCACCAGGTAGGACACGCCTGCAGCCTTGAGCGCGTCGATCACCTGAGTGTGAACAGGCATTTACAGCGTGTGGGAAACAGCCGCGCCATCGCCACAGCAAGCCTTGCACACACAGCACGGCGCATGGTGGGATGGAAGTGGTGCCGCGAGTGCACAGGACCTGCGTGAGAGCAGCCTCCAGGCACCAGAGGGACCGGCAGACCCGCCTTGCGCGGTGGCGCAGCCCCCTCACCTGGCGCGCCATGGTGGGCGTAATGTCGACCGCGCGTTGGTAGCACTCGAGCGCCGCTGCGGCGTTGCCTGCTGCCATATGCGCGGCCGCCTTGGCACGAGCCTCGCGACGCGACCTGCGCAGCAAGGGGCCAAGTCAACTAGTAGCTGGCGCCGACCTTCGCGTCACTGGGTTCAAGCTCAATACTCCTTGGGTGCCTGGCGGGGCCTGGCCCCAGCTGCGAGCCACATGCAGGCACGTTGCCCGCCACTTGCAGACCATTGCGGCGCACGGTCCACATACGCCCGCCGCCTCCCAAGGTGCCCGCACACCTGCGCCGCGCGTCCTCCTCCTCGCCCTTAATTGGCAATCGCCCGCCATCAAACACGATCAGTGGTATGACCGCGTGGGCTGTGAGCAGCTGCACGCGAGACATGAAGTAAGACACAAACCTGTGGAAGGATGCAGCGCAAGAGGCAGAAACCGAGGATCAAGATGGGGTCAACCAAACATCGCCATGGTCAGGATAGCCCAACTGCGCAACCAACGCGGCCCGGTTCAGGCATCACACGCTGTATTTTGTGCGGCCCACGCAGCAGTCCAAATGGCGCAAACACACACAGATGCATCTCAGCACGCGGCGCTGATGGCGCAAACACACACAGCTGCATCTCTGCACGCGGCGCTGCTGTGCGGCCCACTTGTCGGTCCAGATGCCTTCACACAGCTCCCTGCTGCAGCAGTAAGCCCCCTTGTGCAGCCACGAATAACCATCGACCGCCGCCTTCTGGCCATGGTATTTGCTAATATGCGAGGGTCGGCAGATGGGTTTGAATGCTGGCAGGAGGCCATTGATACCCATGAGAACAACAAGCGGACGCCTTACAGAGAAGGCCTACAGCAGGTTGTTTGACATCGCTGCGTACGCAATGTTCTGAACAACGTCGTGAGATCGCTGTAGATCTCTGGCCTGGCACTCTCAAGCCCACCCAAGGTTTTCCCAGAACGACAAGTGAATATTGAGTGCGGCTTGTATATATCTCAGGCAGTAGTGATAGACTGTTGGTGAGTGGGCCGTCCTCACGGCACGTACTGCTCTGCAGCTTCCGCTTCAGTTCATGTAGAGTTCCCTACAGTACTGCGACTGTGCGCTTCAGCAGTCAACAACGTCCAGTGCTGCTAGCCGTACCTGAGACGCATGCCATTCTATGGTGTGTGAATGTGAGGCTCAGGCAGGTCATAAGGTAAGCAGGGGCTCACGCCGTCTATGCAACAGCGACATGTAAGCAAGCCCATGATTGGTAATCCCCGTCAAGGCGTCGCCGCATGCCCCATGTCCCACACCCCAGGGGTGCCAACATCAGGGCCTTATATACTTGATCGGCGCGGCTGCCGGTGTCTTTGGGAGGATTCTAAAAGTCCAGTGTTCAAGAAATGGATGGATGACGCCGCTTGCTGCAAACTGGTGGAAACATGCTTGCTGCTTTGGAATGGTTTCTTACACCTGAGCGGATGATTCTCCAAACGGCGGGCCCAACTTGCCAGTTTATCTGAAACCCAGCTGAAACCCATGTGGATGGCCGTCAGACCTGGTGCCCGCCGGGAGCCCAACATCCCCTGCAGCCTGTGGAGGTGTGTGCACTCGCTCGCGGCAGCATGCCCGGGGGACTGCGTGGGAGGCCCCTGGATGGAGGTAACTGGTCCGGCCACCTGGGGGCTTCTAACAAGGCGGCACAAGATACAAGCGCAGTGTGCAATTACAAAGCTGTGCTTCTGCCATTCCGTGGCCCCTGATATCAGTGTTTGTCTCCACCTCTCAGCTGCACGCATGTGAAAAGGAGACTGTGCATGCATGGGCCCAGCGGGCCGTGTGAACTCAGGTGGTGAGGCAGATGTTCAGATTATAACAGCTTTACTCTGCTCCCAGAACAACACCAGCAAATATTCGAAGCTGAAGCCCCAAAATTATGTAACAATGCATGGCATGCATGCGTGGTCAACTAGGCGCAGGCGCACCGCACTGTATGACGTCTGTGCAGTAAATGCAGCACTCGCGAATTGGCAAAAGCAACAGGGAACAAAGGTCTTCTTCTTGCGGCGCACGAGGTGGTCCCGAGCATCAGCCAACCCCCTTGGTGTAGTGTGTATTATGAGCCCCCTGTATGTGGTGGTGAGGTCCCTCATAGTTTGCAGGGCCAACGAGCCACGCGCAACTGCCCCGGATGCAACGCAAGCAAGGCAGCCACTGTTCCGTGCTTATTCACATGTCATTCCCGGGTCAGCACCACAGCTGTCATCTGGCGCTCAAGCAAAGAGCGGTACATTGAGAGCAAATGGGGGCGAGCTCAGTGCCCCATGTTCCGCACATGATGATGTCGGTCACGTGAAAGTGCCCCCCCTTGATCCCCTACGGTGGGGGGTGTGGCTCACCACACACACCCCTCT